GGCGCGCGGCCCGGCCCGCCGCCGTTGCTGCCGTTAACGCTCGCCGCTGGGGGCTGCGCGCGCGCCCCCGGGCGGGAGGTGGAGGGGGATGCGGCCGTCGGCCCAGCGGAGGTGGGAAGAGGCGGCTCCGGCAGGCAGCAACACTTGTTGAGGAAGACCGGCGGGCAGCCCGGAGACGGGGCTCCGCCCGCCGTGTCACGGGGCTGGGAGACAAAGCGAGGCGGTGCCCGTCCTCGCCGGGCCTCTCCTCTCCCCGCCCTTGTGCCGCCGTCATCCTCCTTTGGGCGTTTCGGCCCGGCCCGCCGGCGGAGCTTGGCTCTCTTCCACACACACAGAGCGGCTCCGCCGCCGCGGGGGCGGGGGTTGCGCGTAGGAGCGGTGTACGAACCTCCGGGCCTTCCCCCCCCGCGGGGCGGAGGCATCCCGCTGCCCGGGTGACAAAGAGGCGACGGAGCTGTGGCCGCCGGGGCCTTGCTCTCGCGTCAGGTAGAGAACGGAGCCGCCGCGGGGCTCTGGAAGTGTCGGACTCGGTTTCCCGCCTTCCGTTGCCGGCTGAACACCTGCCAAGTAATTCTGAAATCTTATTTTCATCCCTGTGTTCTCGTAGCGTAGCTTGATGTTTCCCCCCTCCCTGCTCTCCTGCCTGCACTGCCCGCCCTCCGGCCTTTCAGAAGGGTTTAAATGGTACAGGAGATGTACGATACAGAAATGAGACAGCAAGCAGTGAGTGGTGGACCCTGAGTGTTGCCGTGAGGTGGCTGAGTCACTCAGGCCTGGCCTTAAGCACGGTGATAGTGATTGTAGAGCTTTATGTAAATATAATATTGTTTCGGGGTGTCAGTGGGACAAGAAATAATTTTTTAGTGCTGAGTCACCTATACCTAACTTGCAAGCAGAGTGGTGGGTTCTTGTTTTGTTTTGGTACAGAGAAGGGTGAAAGGGGTTTATTGCAACTGGATTCCTGACCCAATTAATGCTTTTTGCTGCAAGTTTGCTAGTGTAAATCAGTGGGTTTTTGACATCTTTGATCAGGAACTCCACCTTCCTGTAATATTTTGGGCTACTCTTTTGTTTGTACGTGTATTCCTATGTTCTGACTACCCCGACAGCTTAAATTAAAAAAACAGAGGTAACCTGAGTGCAAAAAGTAATAGTGCCTTTTATGCTTTACTTTTAAAATTTCCAAACTCCAGTATAACTGTCCTCGACTCCATCGATAGTTCTTAAATTCTGGACTCCCCCCAGATTAAAATATTACTGTAGTCTAACTACTGGTGCATCTGGGGATATATGGTCTATGGAGAGCCATTCAAGTGCAGGCAGTATGATTCCTTTGTTATTACTAGTGGTGATGCTGCTCTTAATGATCCACCTGAAATGCCTTTTGATGTGCAGGCCCTTTCAGACTGGCCCATTTTCCATGTGTGAAAGAGAGGAAGAAAACAAAGGGGAAAATACTCACAAAGCCTTTTAATGTTTTGTGACTAACGTTCAGTGTTGTTCAAGAGAGCAGTGTTTCTTAGGTTTATATATATAGATCTCTGTCTCCTGCTTTGAGGGCATGAAGAAACAGCACACAGGAGAAAATGTTAGTTGCCCAGATGTATATATTTATACTGGTATTGTGGTACTGCATTGTTTTGGATCTCCTTTTGTCTGTCTTGAAAGCATGGGACATTGGAGGACAGAACAAAGATGGTTAGTAGTCCCCAACTTGAAAAGTGCTCAAGAAAAAAGCTAGCTTTTCTGACCATTTAGTATAATGCATGTCTTCTGCTCATATTAATATTCACTGGCAAAATTATAGGTATACGTCTCTTAATAAATATTTCTCTTTTTTTCTTTTTGCATAAATTCCCTAAATACTGGAAAGCTGACTTTCTCTCAAGCTTTTTAATACATGCTGTTCAACATTTGTTTCAGATTGTTGATATTGTTGTTGGAAAAGATGAGAAAGGCAGAAAGATTCCAGAATATCTGATCCATTTTAACGGTTGGAACAGAAGGTAAGAACGTGTTTACATGGTTTCAGTTCTTCCATTTCTTCTATTTTATTCTGCACAGACTATCAAAGGACTGTGATGTTTGCATAAATATTTTTGGTTTTATGAATGCCTTTAATACACTTGCTCATGTTGACCCATTGGTCTGTATCCATAAATTTCAGTGGATCAGTTTGATAGCCAGGAGTTTAAACTTTATGGGATATCTGTCTTTGCCATGTACTTGTAGTGCTTAGGTTTCCATTAATAAAAGGGGTTTGTACTTTGTTAAATCTAGTCCTGGTTTGCTTGGTTATCAAGGCCAGTGCATGAGTGCAGTCTCTGACTGTGATCTATAGCATGTGTCAGTGTTACAAACACTATCATAAGTTAAGTCAAGGTTTGAGAAATGTTAGGTAGCAACACAAGAGTTGAAGCCATGAGGATACAAAAGGATGCAAACCTTGTGATACAGATGTTGCTTCTGAATGATATTAAAAGAGTGCTTTTTGATTTAGTGTATGTTATTTAATTAGTAGTCATGAGTGGCATATATTAATAGTGGTTAATAATTCTCTTTTGACCTGTCCTTAGCTGGGATAGATGGGCAGCTGAAGATCATGTTCTTCGTGACACAGACGAAAACCGCAGATTACAGCGTAAATTGGCACGGAAGGCTGTGGCTCGCATGTAAGAAATTCTTTTGGTCTCAAAATGAATGAGAAATTAATTTTCAGATTCAAACAGATGTATCCAGGTGTCTACAAGTGAGCTTGGCCTCTAAGCTCATGCTGCAGATCATAGTTATCTACTTGGTATAGTCAGTGCATTCTGGAGAGCTACTCTTCTCATACTAAGGTCAATGCCGATATACTGTTATTAAACAACACTTGGAATGACTAACATTTAGTAACTATGTTATTCTTAAGTGTTGCTGCAAAATGCCTTTGTATTGGATCTACACGTATCCAAAGAAACGTGCTTGAAAAATAACTTAAGAAAACATGAAGTATTTTTCAGCCAAACGTAATAATCTAATATTGATTGGGCATGGCTTGAGGATCTGCTTGAAAACATGAGTATGAGGTAATGTACAGACATTAAGGTATCCCCTCTCAAATAAGCATTGTCCAAATTATATCAACATAAACTAATGGAAAAAAAACCTCAAACATATGTTTCCTGTGCATTTGCATGTAATGTGATTAGCTAGGATAAGCAAATTAAATAATATTAGCCACATTTCAGTGAACCATTTTGTTTTGCAGGAGAAGAAAGGGAAGAAAGAAGAGACGTTGCAGGTTGCCTGGTGTTGACTCTGTATTAAAAAGCCTTCCTGCTGAAGAAAATGATGAGAGTAGTGAAAACTGTGAGCTTGTTTTCATTCTCGGATAACTGGGGTGTGATGCATTTAATTTTGAGCAAGGGGTACAGTGCATTCTGTAACTTGCTATTGGAATGACACAGGAGTATCACAGTCCTATTTGAAATACGCAGAGGCAGTCAGATGAGGTGTGAACACTGTGTTTCATGCTAAGCATCTATTAAGTTACCTGCTTTCTTTATGTGTGCTAGAGGCTTTTCCTTGTGTCAGTTTCACTGAACTACTCTGAGTGATTTCAGCGCTCAAGGCTGCTTTGTTTAATGTAGCATTACTAGGTGCAATAAGGCCTCAGTGTCCTTTCTTTGGTGTTAGGAACAGGGCACTTTCCCCGCTAGTGTTTCTCTATGTCTCAGGAGGCAATAAGACATTCTTTTCCTCAGTCTACCCGACACAAAGGTCTGTTTCTTGTCAGATGACTGGCTGATTGCACTCTCAGTCCAGCTTTTCCATTTCATAGCATTTTTCTTTGTAGCTTGAAAACCAGCAGGAACACTGGCTGGCACTTAACTGATGCTCTGGCAGCTGTCACTGTACAGATCCAGACCTGTTCAGAACTAAAGTCCAATAAAAATTGGAGTGTTCAGAAATACAGGGAGCTTTTAAAAGTGAATGTTTCTCACTAGAGTAGAATACTTCCTGTAAACTTCTTGTAGCCAGGAGGGCCAATGAATCCTGGGCTGCATAGGGAAGAGTGTGGCCAGCAGGTCAAGGCAGGTCATTCTGCCCCTCTACTTTGCACTGGTGAGGCCACAACTGGAATACTGCGTCCAGTTCTGGGCTCCCCAGTTCAAGAGGGACAGGGAACTACTGGAAAGAGTCCAGCGTAGGGCTACAAGGATGATTCAAGGACTGGAGCATCTCCCTTATGAGGAGAGACTGAGAGAGCTGGGACTCTTTAGTCTGGAGAAGAGAAGGCTGAGGGGAGACCTTATCAACGCCTACAAGTATCTCAAGGGCGGGCTGAGGGAGGAGGGAACCAGACTCTTTTCAATAGTTCCCAATGAGAGGACAAGGGGCAACGGGCACAAGCTGGAACAGAAAGGGTTCCACTTGAATATGAGGAAGAACTTTTTCAGGGTGAGGGTGACAGAGCCCTGGAACAGGCTGCCCAGGGAGGGTGTGGAGTCCCCTTCTTTGGAGATTTTCAAGACCCACCTGGATGCAGTCCTGAGTAACATGCTCTGACATGCTCTAGGCAATCCTGCTTTGGCAGAGGAGTTGGACTAGATGATCTCTATGGTCCCTTCCAACTCTAAAAATTCAGTGAAATTCAGTGAAACTTCTTGTTGTACGTATCTAAAATGTTTATAGTGTGCTTCAAATAATCCTTGTGTATTTAAGTCAATTAGAATTACTCATTCTCATTAAATATAACAAGCTAATTATGGCTTTGTTTTTTTGTTGGGAGGATGTTTTTTGGTTTGGTGGGGTTTTTTTTGTTTGTTTGGTTGGTTGGTTTTTTTTGCATTGAGGCCTGAAATTGTTTGGTCTTAACTTCTGCAATGTAATAATGTGTGATAAATATGTGAAATCTCTTTTTTACGCAGCTATAAGTAGTTCTTCTTCTGATGACAGTGATGAAGGAACAGATGAAGAAATAAAAAGTGAAGAAAGTGACATAGAAGAGAGGACAGAAATGGTATATTCATGCACTCCTTAACTTGTTAGAATTTTAACATCTGTATTTGAAACTCTGGAAAAATTGAAATAGATGAAATATAGGCCACAGCTGGTTATTTAGCTGGAATTAAAAGCATAATTTTCTTATTCCTGGTGTTTCCTGTGGTTGAGTTCTTGAAAATTATATAAGATGTCATTCATGTAGAATTCTTTGATATTAATCTGAAAATAATGCATTTTCCTGTCTTTCTGCACGTAAGGCTTATGTGGAGAAAACAGCAAACTAGATTATCCAGATTTGTGGGTGCTGTAAAATTTTACTGGTCTGTGCAGGTTGGACAAATCCTAGTAGCAGCAGGATCTTTCTGGATTTGTATTTTACTGTGAAACAGGCATGTCAGTTCTGGTCTTAAATTAAAATATAGAAGACTGACTTAAAAAAAACCCCCTACATCTATATTTTCTACATTATGAAAAAGAAACTACAGCATAAATAGTTGTTCTGAAAGTCTACAGAATTTAACTACTGCAGTGTGGGTGATCTGAAGGCAGCAAAACCTAACAAATTTCTGTTCATTCTTCGGTGTTAAATACTTAAGTGAATGCTAAATTAAAAAAAAAAAGTTCTTAAAAAATGAATTTGTAGGTGACTTCAAAGCAATATTTCTTAATTGCTTACAGTAAGGCTACTATCTACTTAAAAAGCATAGTAAATATTTATTTTTGCATGACAAAACTTGATTCTTATAGTGTATCCTCACTACTGAGGTTCTTTTTCACTAATATTCATAAGAATAACCAATGGATTGTTTCTTGACTGGTCTGTTGTAGAAAGAAGAACAAGACACTCACACAAAAAGGGACATGGAAGATAGAGCAATAAACATAGAAATTCCTGAAGTGTTGAAAAAGAAGCTTGAGGAAGACTGTTACTATATTAATAGAAGAAAGCGGGTATGAAATACAAGCTAAGACATGAATGTGCATGCAGGGGTGAGGAGGGCTTCACAAGTAGTTCTTGCGAGTAACAATTCCTGGTTTTTTGAACTTGATTGCAAAGGTGAGCTTAGTGTAAGGGAGAGGAAAGAGAGTAGGGAGCAGACTTCTCTATGGCTAAACCAGTGAGTTGTCATTATATTTAAGAATGTAACATTTCGGTACCCAATTGTGTTTTAGAATGCAGATATATAAAGCTTTATAAAGCTGAAAATGTAGTAAGTTTGTTTAACCTGACTGTTACCTTTGTGTCTCCAGATACTAATAAAGGATTGATCAAAAATGCAGTTTAATGGCTCATATTAATCACTCCTGAAATGACTTCATGCCATGGAGATTTATTAAACTAGTCAGTACATTACAAACTCCTGTTTAAGCTTGGTATACTTACAAATTCTTTTTGTAAAACATGAATTTGTTGTTTCTTTTTCAGCTAGTGAAGCTTCCTTGTCAGACAAATATAATAACCATCCTGGAGTCATATGTGAAACATTTTGCTATTAATGCTGCTTTTTCAGCCAATGAAAGATCTCGTCACCATCAGATGACTCCACATGCTAATATGAATCTTCATTATGTGCCACCAGAGAAGAAGTAAGTAACTGTTAGTCTAGTGCTATTGTCACAAGAAGAATGACCTTGCATTCCACGTTACCTTTCAAGGCTGTTCACTTCTGTAAGCTTATACTGTGCTGTATTTATGGGCTTAAAATATTTAACAGATACCCATAGTACAGTAACACTGACAATTTGTTTATCAGTGAGAGAGTCCCTATAATCTGAAAAGTCATTATGCAAAAACATCAGTATCCCTTTTTATGATGTAAGTTCTTGTGAATATTGTGACCTGTTTTGGAAGAATGTGTTGCTGTTGTCTATGTGAAGAATTTTTTGAGCCCTGCAAGAGAATCCGGTATGAGGATTCCCTGCTTAAATAAAATTGAACAGGTTCAAATTTTATAAAGGATAAACATTTTATACAGATACTTACAGAGAACTCCAAGTGCAGGTGATTTTTTTATTTTAATTGACATATCTTGGATACTAGAGTCAATATGTAGGGAAGCAATTTGTGTAGTAACACCAATCCTGTTTATTAAAATTGATTGTGTCTTAGTTACTGTTTGTCAGCTGAGCTTTATATTCTTCTACCATGCTACAGATGCAGTGTGCTAACCCTGCAGTTGCATTGTGGTGTGTGGTTTTTTGGGTTTTGTTTTGTTTTTTCTGATGTTAAAGATTCTCAATATTAGATGAGACTGCTTTTTTATCTAAGTCTACACTGGGGTGAAATCTTCTATTTTATCAAAGAGAAATTTTGACTTTTAACATGTTCTATTTAAATGGTGTATAATTATGCTATTCCTTGCAATATTTTGGTCTATGTGAGTGTCTATGAAATATAATCTCCCAGAAAGGAATTTAGATGAGACATCAGAAATATGAACAGAAAATTGTGTGCATGTTATGATTTTTAAAGGTCTATATTTAAGTGAATTCCTCAAAGAAGGTGCTTTAATAAGGAAAATGTGTATAATTCAGTGATCCATTAAGTAGGAGAGATTTCAGCTGACAACTTCATTGTATTGGCCTTATTGCTCTTAATACAAAATTTTACTGGTCTTCTCAGATGTGATAGAATTTTGCATATGATGCCCCCTGGCCCAATTTATATGTAGTGTTTTAAAAGAAATAAAACAAGGCAGTAGTTTCAGCAGGTGGTATGGAATGGTAATAGGAGGTATGGAATTTCTAACATGGGTGGCAGAATCAAATTACTGTTACCGTAAACATATATGGACTTGAGACATGAGAGATGAATACTTTCATAAAGGTGAGAAGTGCTGGAGATGGACTGAATTCCATGTTCTTGGTTCTGTTTGTAATAGCTCATCTGCTCACCACGCAGCACCGTGGGTCCTTTATGCAAGCCCAAAACACAAATTCCTAGCAGCCTCTAAATGTAGTGCTTTGGTGACCTGGAGCAGGCCGTTGGAAACTGATCTCCAATGGGAATGTATCTGGTTTTGTTGGTTCCTTGGATAGCTCTTAAGCACTGCCTTAATTGCAGTTTAGCAGCTATAGGTTAAGTTCTGCATATGCCTTTTAGACAGAGGTTCATTCTATTGAGTACTTAGTTATTCTGGAAGGTGCTTCTTTTTTGAGCCTAGTAAACTTGGAAAAACAAAATGATTACATGAAAAACTATCTAGCTTTATTACTGTAAAGTAGATTTTATTAATCCAGTAGATAGTACAACAGAATAATTGTATGATTTTGTTTGGCCTTATTAAGCAGACTTTTAAAATTTGTATTTGTCTGAAGCTACCAACAGCAAATACTTCTAATCACTCATCATTACTTAGTGATTTAATCAGGGTGTTATAGTTTAGAGGTTAATGATCTATATTAAAAGGGAATTTCCTAAAGCTACGCTGAAAATTTTTTACATGCGACTTTGAAATTCCTAATCCTTTTTTTTTTTTTTTTTCTCTAGTGTTGAGATATGTAAAGAGATGGTGGATGGGCTAAGAATAACCTTTGACTTCACACTTCCATTAATTTTGCTCTATCCTTATGAACAAGCTCAATTTAAGAAGGTCACTTCATCAAAGTTCTTTCTTCCCATCAAAGAAAACTCAACAAATACGAACAGGTAGGTTGGGTTTACGGAGTCTAATACTGCTTATCTCCTGAGGAAGATGCAATAGAATGTGGTTATGTGTTCAGAACAGGATGATTTCTCACAGAATTTGACTTATAAATTGTCGTGATAAACTGTTGAACTTTTCTGTAAATTGCTTGCCTGAATTCAGGTTCTGAATTTCTATCTGGTTAACTTCTAAAAGGTTTTGTACTGACCGGTGTAGCGTTATGCTGCAACTTTGTGGGGGAAAGAAATTTACATTGAAATGTAAATTTGTGTTCATTAGCCTTTAAATTTGAAAATAATTATGCTTCCAGAGAATAGTATTTAAAAGAAGGCCTTGTCACTTTGATAGCTATTGGGAGGAGACTATCTAATTGGAATAATTATTTAACAAGATCGGTGAAACTAGAAGGATTTCTTTTTGGGGAAAGAGCCTTGATCTCTTAGCTTCTGTAAAGCTGCCTTTATTTCCTAGAAATCAGGAGGAGCTTTCCCCAAGCCCTCCTCTGTTGAATCCCCCAACGCCTCAATCGACTGACAGCCAGCCTACAACAGGGGAGCCAGCCACCCCGAAAAGACGAAAAGCTGAACCTGAAATCCTGCAGTCGCTGCGGCGTTCCACACGCCATAGCTCTAACTGTGACAGGTTATCAGAAAGCAGTGCCTCCCCACAACCTAAGCGGCGGCATCTTGAGACCCCAGCTTCTATGCCAAAGCTCTTCTTGCACCTGGAAAAAAGTACGTTTTGCTCTTCAAATTATTGCTCTAAATAAGATTTTTTAAGTCGTCGTCTTTTTTTTTTTTTATGTCATGTGGAATATGTACTGAATGATTGAAGTGGGAGTTCATTACTTGTTGTATCAAATACTTATCTCTGAAACTTAAACCAAAGGGAGAAATACACAGCAGTATTCTCAGTACTTTGGTACTGTAGTTTTCAACAGAATTCCGGGAGCTGCTTTTCTGTAAGCCTACTTTAGGGTAGCAGTTACTGAATTCTAGTGTTTAAGACTTTAAACGTTATAGTGGCAGGCCTTAGTTATGTTTAATGACTTATAGTTCCATAAAACAGATAATAAAATTTATTCAGTTTTCAACAGAATTTCGGGAGCTGCTTTTCTGTAAGCTTACTTTAGGATAGCAGTTACTGAATTCTAGTGTTTAAGACTTTAAACGTTATAGTGGCAGGCCTTAGTTATGTTTAATGACTTATAGTTCCATAAAACAGATAATAAAATTTATTTCTGATTTCTTTTGTTTTTCTTTCCCTTTTGAAGAAACCCCTGTCCATAGTGATTTTGTTTTTCCTTCCCTTTTGAAGAAACCCCTGTCCATAGTGGATCATCTTCACCTATAACTTTGACTCCTAGCAAAGAGGGCAGTGCAGTTTTTACTGGCTTTGAAGGTAGAAGAAACAATGAATTGAATGAGGTAACAGATTTTTATGCTACTGTACTAGACTCAATGATTAAAGATTTCATTGACCTCCAAGTAGGGGGATGTTTTGTTTGTATTACTAATTTAATCTTAGAAGTTCTGCAGAGACTAAATTATTTATGCTCCAATAAAGATTTCATAACTGACATTTTCATGTCTTATGTTTAGGTTTTGTCTTGGAAATTGATGCCAGAGAATTATCCACCAAGTGATCAACCACCACCTCCCTCATATATTTATGGATCTCAACATTTGCTACGGATGTTTGGTAAACTGATGCAAAACTCTGTGCTGAGTCAAAATGGCTTTATTTGTTTTGTGTGGCTGTGTGGGCTTTTTGCTTTGGTGTTTTTTGTTGTGATTGGTTGATTAGTTTTATTTTGTTTTGTTTTGTTTTTTTCCCAGTGGCTGTGCGGGCTTTTTGCTTTGGTGTTTTTTGTTCTTGTTTAATTGGTTTTGTTTTGTTTTTTCCAGTGACCATATGACCATATCGATGTGATTTGCTGTTTACTTTATCACATTTAGTTTTATTCTTGGCGAAGAGTTCATTTTAATATATTTGAAACTCTTAGGCTGTTCATAAACTTGCTTATCTCTTACTGCAAAGTAGGCATTACTTCTGATACGCTATCAAACATCATTAAACCAAGCAGCATTCACTTTCTGAGCATGTTTCTTTTTGGTAAGGTTTGGAAAGATCACTGAGTAACTTGCAAAGAAACGTAGAGTCTGCAGTTAGAAGAAATGTTTATATTCTTCTTTTCTGTATAGTGGATAAAAGTAATTAGAAGTTGTTTTTAAATAAAAGGTGTAAACATTATTTCTTTTATTTACAGTAAAGCTACCAGAAATACTGGGGAAGATGTGCTTTCCTGACAAAAACCTAAAGGCTTTAGTAAAACACTTCGAAATGTTTCTGAGGTAATGTGGCACAATGTATCACAGCGCTGTTTGTGGTGTTACAGAAATCTAAGCGTACTGGAATGACAGAGGGTTTTTAAAATAAGATGTTCATTTTCTGTAACTACAAGAATATGATTAAATTAAGATTTTAATAATATCAGCTTGAATAAAGATTAATATATGATTTTTGTTTCTGTAATTCATATTGAAGGGAACCTGAACTCCCTATTTAAAGTTTTGGTAAACACAATGCTAGAGAAGTGTAAAAGTATGTTTGCTAGTAGGTATAGAATGACAAGTCTGACTTAGCTTAGAAGCATGTTTTATGAAGAAATACAAAAAAAATCTGCGTTGTTATTTTAGAGAGCATAATCTGAGAATTTTTAATTTTGTCAAATATGTTTTGCTGTGTATTCATATAGGTAACATAGAAACCAATAGTGTGTATTCAAATAGGCCATCTTTCATTTGGGTATTTCTTTCTTTGTCCCATATGTCATTGAAAGTGGTCAAACAATTACTTTTTCTAGGAACTTGTTCAGACTTGATTTCTATCACAGAAATACTTCTGCATTATCTGTTTCTTATCACAAGAGAGAACTTGAGGCTGAGGTGACATCTTGTACTAGTTCTTCTAGTACTAGTTCTTCTTTTTACATTCTGTCTTTTCCTTTTTGGGAATGAAAGGATTAATGGATGCTTATTAAAAATATTTTCTGTCAGTTCTGTCCTGGCTTACCTTTTGAAAGGTAAGAACTGTCCTACGCAGTCTGTGTGCATTGGATGATAGCAGCCAGTTTACTTAAGGCTGCCTAATTTCTTTTAATGACTTGCTCTTGAGTAACAAGCTGAAGTACTCTCCGTTCCTTTATTTTTCTGATAGCAGACAAGGGATTGAAGCTCTCTTTTTCGCATTAATGAAACTGTTGCTGAATCTTCTTTGAATTCTAGGTAGAGTAGTCCTAGCATAAGTAGCTTACGTATTTTTAAATAAAACTTTTATGTGGTACAGAACTGATTTAGTTCTAGCACAGATACTGATTTAATTTTGTATTATGATTTTATGTCTAAAACTTACAATTTCATTTAACATTTGTACTATTAATCTCATGTGGGCTGAGAAACTGAGACTTATTTAATATAACACTTTGTCTAGAAGCTTGTTTTATTGAGTTGACTCAGTACTTGATAGATGCATTAAATTCTCTTTGAGATGTTACATGGGTAGTGTTTTCCAGTCGTGCCCTCAGATTGCTGCTAGGCAAGATTGATCTCAGTTTCCCAGACAACATACATTTTTAAGGAATGTACGAAATACTCTTTCCTTTTTTCTAGTTTAATATTAAGTAGAAGCTGTATCCTTTGTGCTTAGGGCAGCTTTCTGCAAGTGTGCATAATGAAAATTTCTTCTGGAGAACATGAAAGTTGATTTCTCAATTATAGAACTGGCAGAAGGAAAGAAAATTAGTTTCTCCAATTAAATACAAAACTCTTAGTCTTCACTTCAAATTATTTAGCTCTGAAATAATTCATAATACTTGCAGAAGAATAACAGTCTGAAATGGATGTTAGTGATGAAGTCACCAGTTGGTTTCACTTAACAGTTTAAGTTCAGTCTTCAGGAGCAAGCAGTGGAAGCTCTCACAGTAACTGATGCCTACTAACTGGTAGTCTTACTAGCAAAGGACCCCTGATTAAATCTTCCTGCCTCCTGATAGTTTTTGAGATGATAGAATAAGTATTGCCTTTTAACCAAATCCATTATTTCAGCTGTATTTTTAATAAAATGCTGTATGTGCTGTATTTTACGACTTCTCTGTATTGTCAGGTTCCCAGCATTCCTCCAGAGGCTGCTTAAGTGATGAGAAATGATGGGCAAGAAAGTGCCAGTTTTTGTTTTGCTGTTTCCATTGATTTGAACGCAACCTTGACTTGAAAAACTCTTTTGACATCAGAGAGGTCACTTCTCAGGACTGTTGACCAATAGGAGATACTTAAAAATTAGGAGAATATAGCATGTCTGGTTTTAGAATAGCAAGACCTGTCTTCACTGAGGTATTTTTAGTCAAAAATTTAGTATTTTTAGGAAAAAAGCGCAAAACAAAATAGTAAAGCACTTCAGAAAGCCATAGGTATTTTGACTTTCATGAGATAGAGAGGAATAAATGATGAAATATTTCTAACATAATGCTTCTGATACGCTTTCCCAAATGAGGTCAGTATGTAGTATTTCAGGTTATGGAAAGCTACCTTCTTAATGGTCAAAGACTTTGGTTTTGTTAAGAACCCACTGACATTTCAAACTCGGTATATCTTGTAAGATGTCTCTTTCATTTCGGATCTCATTTTTTCCTGGTGTTTTACAACCTGTTTGTATCTATTGTGCCACTCTGCTCCATGGGTAGAAAAGTATTTTAATACTGTTGAGTATTTTATGGGAAGGAAGCCAAATCAAAATGTGAACAAATTAGAGGGCTGTGATAATGTGTATATAGGAAGATGACAAGTTGTTTGAAGTAACCTTAAGAAATAGATCTCTGGTTTCAAAAGCACAACATTTTTGGAGTATAGTAAATTTATTATATGTAATTGCAGTGGTGAATAATGACCACTAGTCTGTGCTAATGTGTAGTTAATGAGAGGTAATTAGTGGCTGAGAATAGAAAAAATTAAGCGTTGCACATGGTGAATGGAGTTCTTTATTTAGGTGATATAATAATAAATAAATCTTGATTTAGGTGAAGTTGCTTGTAACAGAATACCCGCTCATTGTGACTTTAAGTTGTGAGATGGCAATCGATTAAAAATCACATTTTGAGAGATCACAAATGATACAATTCTGCTACTGTTTTCTTATATTGATTAGGGCTTTTCTATTTGCCTCTCAATTTTGAGATTAACCGGTTACTTGACAAAAAGTATCTGTGCAGCATAGCAATTATGATGTACTAGAAAACTTTACGGAATTGGGGCCTAAATGTGAGAAAACCAAGGTTGTGGGTGTCAATGGACAGGTGAGGGTTTAGAGGCACAAAAAAGGGTAAAGGACCTTTCTAAAAAGTTTTGAAACCCTTCCAAATGAAGGAATTCTATTTGTACAATTACACAGAATTTCACTGAATTTTTTTTTTAGAGTTGGAAGGGACCATAGAGATCATCTAGTCCAACTCCCCTGCTGAAGCAGGATTGCCTAGAGCATGTTAGAGCCTTATTTTAGGGCATTATTACCATTGTATTTGGATTTCACTGTATTCACTGAACGGGTAGAAAGGTAACTGCCATTTTGGGTCCTCAAAATTTTGGAACCTTTATGTTGAAAGCTTCTTAGTCACTGTGTACCTGGTATTGCACAGGTTCTTAGTTTCAGTAGACTTTTGTCGTTTGGTTGGTCTGCAGAACCTGCTGTGTGTGCTTATTGCTCTTGGCTAAGGTTTGATTGCCATGTCAGAAGTGCTTCCTGAAACTAGCGCTATGTGGATTGCTTCTCTTCCTTCTGCTTACCAAATCTTCGAAGTATTTGAATGATGAGTGTATTCCTAACCATAATAACAGAGGTTTGGATCATGCATCAAAAGTGAGAGGTTGTCCAAAATAATAGTTACAGTAGCTTTTTTTAGAAGGCAGTTCTAGGAATTGATTCTTGGATCTGTGCTGGCTTTGCCAAAAACAGGTCTTCATCCTCAAGACCAACCAAGGACACCTGTATTGAGCTTTTGTAGGACTGTGTTCAAAAAGGGTCTATTAGAAGTCACCACTTTCACTTCCTTAGCCTGATGACCTGAAATGTTATGTTGGCAGCTTGGCATCTTCGGAGTTCTCTGCAGTTGTCCTTTAAAGGCCGAGAAATATGATCTTGGTTTCTGAATGTGGATGAGGGACAAGAGTCAAGTCAACAAAACAAGCCTGTTGGTTCCATTGGCGTAGTTCTTGAGACACTGGATATCAGAATAAACATCTGAAATTTTTCATTTCACTTGTTTTGTTGACTGATTTTGGGGTTATGATGAACTTTGTGTTGGTGAGCTTTTGCCCTGAACAGCCTTCCAGATGAAGACATGTCTATCAACTGGAGGGTGTGGGGAGCAGGTGATGGCACGTGCTTTTGTGTGAAACTTAGCCTTTTAGCTTTCAAATGCTGCATTTGAGTAGTAGCAGTCTTGGAGAGGAGACAGCTTCTTAATCTGCAAATGACATTTCTTTTGATGAGTGACTCATAGAGTTAGGACCCATCATGCTCTTTAATGATCTATCTAAAGGAATTTGCTTACAGTTGCCTTTCAAACAGTTTCTAGCCCAGGCCTCTGATCTCATCAAAGCATCTGCTTACCTTCTAGAACTCAAGAGCTGTAGCAAAAGATGCCATCTTCCTTGGAACTTTTCATTTTAACTGCATTCTTGTACCTTTATGGCTAAGGTTATCCTTATTTAAATTATTAAGGTTTTCACTTCATAATTTTCACAGTTTTCAGACCATCCCTGTGTTTATTCATGTGATGGTAGCTGACATTTAAAAGAGTCTTTGTGCAGAAACTGACACTGCCAAGACAAGGACATTTTCGCTACTAGATGATTCTCTTAAAACTCTTACTAATTCAGTGACTCGGTTGAGAAATGTTCCTGACGTATATATGTCAAGTGGCCTTTGAATGTGGATAACGGTAGTTCTGTGCCTCTTTTTGGTAGATCTGCCTGTGTGACTCTCAGCCAGATGGTAGTATATTTGTGAGGTAATTGCTTGGGAGTCACCTGAGGTAAGCTTATGGACTGCTGCACTTGAAGATGAGAACATGGGAATTCTTCAAGCTAGGTTGCCCATGTGTCTCTTTCTCTTGTCTCCATCCCCTCTTGTTCCTTCTGAAGTGTTGCTCTTGCGGGAACCTGTGGTAGAGAGGGAAATAATTGCATTGTGCCCTGTTGCCTCTCTGTTCTGAGGAGGAGTGTAAAGCATAAGTATTCTTTTTGTGGATGCTCATGATGAGAAAAAAAGTGTACAGTCTTACATCAGGATGTTTGTGTGGACCGTGCTTCTCAGAACTCATGTACTTGGGAGCAGTTTCACTGTGTAGGTGTATGCATATGAACTCTGTAAAAATTATAAAAATGAAAAAGGCAAGAGTGCGCTGAATTTATCTGATTTGCAAGTTAAAAGTAACGGAACAATTTCTGAATAGCTAAATAGCAAAGTGCTTTCTGATCTATAGCAGAACCTTGGCTTTACTTGCTAAGTACAGCTCCCTCTGTTTTTAACTTGGCTCATGACTTGCAGGTGCCAGTGAAATTGATCTTTGTGCTATTTTAGCTTTTCCAAGAGCAAAGCATCAGTGAAATATCCAGTAGCTAAGGGTCTTATGAGACTCCTAATATTTCTGTGCCAGCTTTCTGCACTGTGATGTAGCTTGAATAGAAAGCAGCTTCAGAAAGGCGACTGCTCTTTGTAAACAGATACAGGAGGGATTGGGACAGAAGCTGACCTTGTGTTGTTTTGCCTGTTTCCTCCCACTTCTCTGCAGAAAGTAATTTGTATCTGCTAGCTCTGGAGCATTTTGCTTTTCACAACTGTTACATTAAGAACAGAGACATGTACGTTTGACTGTACGCATTCTGCCAGCTTGCCTTTCTTTTTTTGGTTTTTTTTTTTTGAGTTTTAGATGTGCCACAAGCATTTCAGCTAAAATTTCTCATCTTTACCAACTGTTACTTTAGGTTGCACCAAACTGGCATTTTCAACTGATGATCTTAAGCAAAAGTGAGGAAATTTGTAAGAGAAAATGAAGCTGTTTCCTGTTACTTGCCCTTAAAATTCTTGGAACTGTCAGCTACCTGATGTCCTCTACAGGTTCCTTTGGTTTTTTGATGTTCTTTTAAAACGTACTGCCTCATATGATCTGACACTTGGTGCTGTGTTTTACAGAATGTTAGCCAGTGGCACTGAGAACTCGATCAGCCCCTGTAATTCAGACTCGCAGTTTATCTGTTGAAGTCATTAACATGTGTTAATGAAGAATTATTTATTCAGTTTTACTTGTGGCTCATCTTAATCTTGTGCAACCGAAGTATGTTAAAAGTTACTCAAATCTGATAAGTTTTAGGCCTCTTCCCACTCACTTCATACCAACCCCACGTCTCCCAGAAAGTGATTTGTAGCTAACTATAGTCAGAAGTCATAGCAGTTGAGGACTTGGGTATTTTAGGAACTTCTAAGTTGTAAGTTTCAGTACTCCTTTGTAGTGGTTTTCCTAGAGCAAGGGGCGTGTGTAGTGCAAACAGATGACATGTTTCAGTGAAGATTAGGAGGATCTGATTATGTGAGTTGTTTTTGTGCTGCTTTGGATTATTTTCTATGGGGTAGCTTTCCCTCATGTTAAAAAAGGAGTTTATAAAGTATTAAAGCAATTTATGGCCTGGTAAGCTTAGAAAAGTGTAGGTGGTGAACTGTTTTGATGACAAGCGCTAGTAAATCACTAAGTCCTGTGGTCCAAACAGCGTATTAATCAAATATTGGTGGCTTGAATCTAGACTTGCCCTGCTGGTTTGGTTTTTTTTTTAGTTCAAGAAAAGAATTAAAATATTTTTTCTGGCTTGTTCTTTTGCCAAAGTTTAGCTAATTTGGATTCACTGTGTAGTAGTTGGTTGCATTTTGTTCTTTGAGGGCAAAATATTTCACTGATGTTTTTATTTAATTTATTTAAATGCCTTTATTTCTGTGACTAGGAAATTGGTGTAATGCAGCTGCAACATGCTGTAGTATTATACCCAATTTTTTTGATTTAACAAAGTAGCTTTCATAGTAGTTTTTTTTAATTATCTATCAACCTTAATTATATATATATTTTTTTTTTTTGCTGTGTGCTGTTTAATAAAATTGGAAGCTGCTGTTGGGCCCAATGAGAAACTAGCAGAATAGAAATACTTATAAAGTATGATAAAGTATTTAATGCACCTAGAACTGTGTGAATGAAGACTCTCTGGAACTTTACTTAGCTCTTGCACGTTTATGATGATAGCTTCTGTTGTGTCAGTCTGTGGCAGAGCCAGCTGGATCCTTGCTTTAAATATGAGAGATCTTTCTCCCTTTTGGCAGTACCTGCCCCAGCTGAATATTGCCAGAAATCATGTGCTTGGTTAGACACTGTTACGGGTCATGTAACGGAGCCTTTTCTGAACAATTCCTTAGGTAATGTTTAAAAACAAAAACAAGCTGCCATGTGATCCGCTGAAAGTGTATTGGTTGTCCAGCCTCTTCACTCACGTGTCTTAAACCTGAAACTTTTACATCAGAAACCATCCTAGGTCCCTCAATACTGTTAATTACAGAACTCCTATGAAATAAGCAAGACAAAGTGCCTTCTAAATAAATGGTGACACATTGAAGGATTGTTTTCTTCTAAAAACACTTGTATTTCTCACTACTTTTCCTAGAATTAGTAGGATTTAACCAGTTATTCCTCCAGTTTAGAACTTGTTTGATGCCCATGTCTAAGTACAAGGATTGTGGGGGAATCAACCTTCTTAATTTACCTGCATTTTCTTGCTGTAACCTTTCTATATGAGCTCTCAGCAATTAATCTCTTCCTGATTAAATTCAGATTGCCTTATGTAGAGAATCTTGTCAGTATCCTTTGATGCTCTGGCTTCCTTAAGATCAAAGGACGTGCCTAGTAAAGGCAGCGGAGCTATTAGTGAGGTTGGAGAAGCACTATGGTTTTAATTGCATTGATCTGTAGGATTTTTTTTTTTTTATTTTGCCCAGAGTATTGGTTATGCAAAAGTGGTATTTTTAGCTTCCAATAGTGAGGTCATCTCCCTAGCCAATGGTTCCTGAGAGAAACCGGATTCTGCAAATGACATTGTTTCCTGTTGTTTCCGTTGCTTCCTACTCTTAACTGAAATGGAGAACGTGCAGCTAGCATTTTGTCATGTTAATTGATGCTGGTCTGTAATATCAAGGTATTTTTGAATGTCTGTGGTTTTTTCTGAAGTACAGCTTGATCATGTACAACAGGGTTTAAGAACCATTTTACACTTTTGCCCCCATTTGTATACCTGGTGTCTTCGTATGCGAACGAAAGAGCAGAGAGCTTGTAGTAATTTTTGTTTATCACTGGTATTAGTAGCAGCACCATTTATTTTTATTTACAGTCCTAAGCCAAAGAAAGAGTTGTATGTTGGCAGAGCAGGAAGACATGATAAAATACTGGGTGCTTTCTGTTTGAATAGTATTTGAGGAGCAGCTTGGAGAAATCTGAAATCAGGGTACTGGATTCACAAAGGATATGTATTTGCTTTTGAGAACCATATTAAATTGGATACTTACGAGGAGCAGAGACTGTAAGTGCACAGGCACATGAAAGAACAAATCACAGCTTTACTTACCTTAAAAGATACAGTTTGACTTAATGGACATTTGGACATTTGTATAAGATACTGACATAGTGATAACTGAAAATCCTGGTTTTCACATAAATGGAAATGGTATGCTGAGCAGGTGACTGACAGAAGTTGCATAAAGATCTCTTTACTTCTTTTTTTTTTTTCCTTCTATAATAGTTCTTTGCATTCTTTTCTGAGTGTAGCTTCAACTTTTAGATATTTTTTTTATTGAGCTTGAGTAAATTTTTTTTTAATGCTATTTGGATTTCAGAATGATAGGGGAAGTCTATTTCTCACTATGTAAAACTTGTAAAAATAGGGCAAGCCTTTTGTAGGCTAAATTTCAAAGGGTAATATTTCTTAATTTCCAGGCTATGGATCTGCTGAGCTTAAAAATGAATTTGAAAATAGCTTTTCTCCTAAATGTTTCATGTTCTGTTCTTTTTTGTGTATGCTTTCTTCTCAGGTTTTTAGCAGAATACCATGATGATTTCTTCCCAGAATCTGCTTATGTAGCTGCATGCGAAGCCTACTACAGTACCAAAAATCCTCGAGCAATCTACTGAAGCTTTTAATAAAGATTAAATCCTACTATACGTAGCCCACGACAATGCTATTTTGCCACATGGCTACAAGATGAAGATGAAAAAGAAATTAAAACAACTTATGGAGTTGAAAAAATAGGGAAATGTCTTCTCTGATAGTTGGATTACTAAGAAATGGAGAACTTCTCAGAGATGTGTATAGACTGCATTGTGAGTTGCTTAGAGGATTAACTATATCTCTGACTTCAGATGAATGAAGAAGCCTTGTTCTGACTTCTAATGCATAGGACTGCATAGGACTATTAAAGAGAAGAGGAGGCAAAAGCAGATGCATTAGCAACAGGGCATTTTCCCGAAGATAGATCATCAAGCTGTATTTAATTTTAGCTCAACCTCTCCAACCTGACAAATAAGACTTGACTACACAGTTACATGAAGAGAATGAGTAACTGGTATCTTATGGATTTTTTTTCCCTCACAAATTGCAGTTCATTTTGTGGAACTGTCATGATAGAAAAGATTGTTTCATGTAAAGGTGGTTTTGCTGTTTGGCTAGCATGACATCTGCCTCAAGAATGACTTAGTGGCTTGAATGAAAGGCGTGTTGCTTACTTTGCATTTTGCAAAGGTGTGTTCTTTTCATGGTAAGACTGCCAGAGTTCCAAGGAGACCATACCTTGCCAGTGATTCAAATTTACGCGGCAATAAATTATCTCCAGAGCCATTATGAAAGAACTGATTTTTCTACAGCTAAACAGAGGAATCAAAAAAGTGATGGCAGTTTAACTGGCAAACACTTCTTTTCTTAATAAAGTTCACAGTGGCTGCTGTGTAAATGTGTGCTTTTGACTGTCTAAAATGTCTTGTTTGTCCTTGATTAGAATATTTGAGATTGTAACTGTGTGTGTAATGAGAGGTGGAAGCATTGATACAGGGAGAGGAACCCTTTCTGTATCAACGGGTTTTCTTCCACAGTCTTTAAGGTCTCTTTAGGCAGTTTTAAACAATTTAACTCTGGAAATAGGAGTTCAGTGAGAACTGAGTTCCTAGAAATCTGACATGTTCAGTAACTGAAATATAGTTCTTGTCTTGATTGTCATGAAAACCTCATCCATGACTTAGAACTCTGCCCTTCAGAATCTTCTGCTATGTGAAGACAGACTTAGCTGTAATGCAAAACTCAACGCATTCCTCCCAGATTTGCAGAACCTAGTAGTTATGAGGAATCATCTTCCAAACATAAATGGCAAGCTGCGTCTAAGAGGCCAGAGGAAATCTGAAATCTGCTCTTGGCATTTAGTGTTACTCACTTTTCAGAGTGTACTGGTGTGTTAAAAGCTTTTGAACTGAAAAGATAAAGATTACCTTGGCTTTAGCAGTTTAGATTCTGCTTTTTGGAAGAGCTTCTGTAGAGGGTCTGTTAAACTTAATGGTTGTTAAACAAATGTTAGGCATGGATGCATTCGGAGTTGGTAATTGTTATGCCTAAAGATTGCTATTTTGTAGCAGTACTCTTTTTAAATGCGTTTCTGTTGTACCAAAAATACCCAAACAAAAAACCAAAACATTTGTAAACTATAGTCTTTCTCAAATTACAGAAGTTTTGAATCTCTAGCAGACTCCAAGTAGCTCAAAATCCACTTTGCAAACATGGTTCATTCTAGAGTAGGACCCTATTTTTCTGTGTTGTGATTAATGCTGCCTGAAACTCCACCTTTAATCCTTTCTATTGCAGGAACGTTAGGGTGTATATAATATGGCAAATCTGGTTTTGTTCCACTGTTGGTACCTGTGAGTAGAAGGCGGGTTATGAAGAGAGTTTAAACCTTATTGCGTGACTGTGTTTAACTGGTTTAGATTCTGCTTTTTGGAAGAGCTTCTGTAGAGGGTCTGTTAAACTTAATGGTTGTTAAACAAATGTTAGGCATGGATGCATTCGGAGTTGGTAATTGTTATGCCTAAAGATTGCTATTTTGTAGCAGTACTCTTTTTAAATGCGTTTCTGTTGTACCAAAAAAACCCAAACAAAAAACCAAAACATTTGTAAACTATAGTCTTTCTCAAATTACAGAAGTTTTGAATCTCTAGCAGACTCCAAGTAGCTCAAAATCCACTTTGCAAACATGGTTCATTCTAGAGTAGGACCCTATTTTTCTGTGTTGTGATTGGTCAATCCGGTCAAAACCAGACAGTTCAGCAAAACACTCATGACTATCTAACAAGAGATTAATCTTGGGATGCTGCCTGAAACTCCACCCTTAGTCCTTTCTATTGCAGGAACATTAGGGTCTATATCATATGGCAAATCTGGTTTTGTTCCACTGTTGGTACCTGTGAGTAGAAGGCGGGTTATGAAGAGAGTTTAAACCTTATTGCGTGACTGTGTTTAACTGTTAAACCAACAATTTCTGCCTGCAGGAGTTATTAATACTGTTGGTATTGCCTTGTCAATAGGTTGTGATGATTCTCAAAAGATGAGGGAGGTGGGTGGAGATTCTGAAGGTCCAGTTAGTGTAGTCTACATGAATAAACTATTTTTTGTAAAATTTTTTTGAAGCTGCTATTGGATATAATATTACAAACTCTATCTTGCTTTTCTAAAAACCAAAAAACTTTTCTCAAAAGTAGCACCCTTTTGTGCTTCTTGACCCATGTAATTGCCTTGACTTCATCAGACAGTATCTCTTCAAATTGAAGAAGTTCAGGTTTGTATATTCAGTCACAGTTGTGTGCATCTTTGACGTCCCCCTTCCCTGCTGTCACTACTCTTCTACTACTTTCTATTTTTATATGTGATTATTTTATTAATTTTTTTTTTAAGCTGAAGCAGTGCCAAGAGAATTGCAAGAACTTGAACCAGATTGGGTAAGAGGGTAGTTCTTACTAGTCTTAAAATACATAGAGGCTTACTAGTGTGATTCCACCCAAAATCCACTTTGAATGGAATATTTAAGGGCTTATGTGGCTAGGGGAAGCTTAATAATATAGTTATACTGCTGCAGTGAAGCTGTAACTCTTTGGATGTTCTCAAGTGATGAGATTTTTGATGGGATTCACATCCATCCGGATGGATGAAAGAGGTTTCTGCGCGGAGCTGTTTGTCGTTTGTTGGTGGCTGTTGTTAGAGCTACTCGTATCATAGCTCAAAATCCACTTTGCAAACATGGTTCATTCTAGAGTAGGACCCTATTTTTCTGTGTTGTGATTGGTCAATCCGGTCAAAACCAGACAGTTCAGCAAAACACTCATGACTATCTAACAAGAGATTAATCTTGGGATGCTGCCTGAAACTCCACCCTTAGTCCTTTCTATTGCAGGAACATTAGGGTCTATATCATATGGCAAATCTGGTTTTGTTCCACTGTTGGTACCTGTGAGTAGAAGGCGGGTTATGAAGAGAGTTTAAACCTTATTGTGTGACTGTGTTTAACTGTTAAAACAACAATTTCTGCCTGCAGGGGTTATTCATACTGTTGGTATTGCCTTGTCAATAGGTTGTGATGATTCTCAAAAGATGAGGGAGGTGGGTGGAGATTCTGAAGGTCCAGTTAGTGTAGTCTACATGAATAAACTATTTTTTGTAAAATTTTTTTGAAGCTGCTATTGGATATAATATTACAAACTCTATCTTGCTTTTCTAAAAACCAAAAAACTTTTCTCAAAAGTAGCACCCTTTTGTGCTTCTTGACCCATGTAATTGCCTTGACTTCATCAGACAGTATCTCTTCAAATTGAAGAAGTTCAGGTTTGTATATTCAGTCACAGTTGTGTGCATCTTTGACGTCCCCCTTCCCTGCTGTCACTACTCTTCTACTACTTTCTATTTTTATATGTGATTATTTTATTAATTTTTTTTTTAAGCTGAAGCAGTGCCAAGAGAATTGCAAGAACTTGAACCAGATTGGGTAAGAGGGTAGTTCTTACTAGTCTTAAAATACATAGAGGCTTACTAGTGTGATTCCACCCAAAATCCACTTTGAATGGAATATTTAAGGGCTTATGTGGCTAGGGGAAGCTTAATAATATAGTTATACTGCTGCAGTGAAGCTGTAACTCTTTGGATGTTCTCAAGTGATGAGATTTTTGATGGGATTCACATCCATCCGGATGGATGAAAGAGGTTTCTGCGCGGAGCTGTTTGTCGTTTGTTGGTGGCTGTTGTTAGAGCTACTCGTATCACTGTTTTCTAACCCGATTCAGTCAAAATGGCTTATGTTGGCTGAAGCAACGTGAGAAGCTGACTGAAGCGGGCAAGGGAGCGCTGGCAGGAGCCAGGCCCCTGGCAGACTTCAGGGCCGGTCTCCTGTGGAGGAGGAGCTGAGCTGGGAGAGCAGGTTGATGGGCAGTAAGAGCTGACATCGGTGTAGCCGTTTGCATAACTCGTGTGTTCTCTGCTTCCGAATTAACAGGGTTTGTTTGTGTATTTAGGGAAATTATATCGGTGTAGTTATAGCGCGTACTTAAACTGGGAAATCTCTCTGCTGAAGGCAAGTCCTTGCGCTTGCCTTCAAGAGTGGGCTGCTCCAACGTGAAGCGTGGTGTAGGGTTTTGAATACGACCGGCCTTGGGAGAAGGTGGAGGAGAGCAGTCATGGGCTGGGGTCAGAAGCAGGTATTGCCCCTGGTGTGGGGCACAAAGCGTGCTGCCCTGTAGGTTCTCAGGGTGCTCAGTCTGCACAAACACTGCTCATTTCAGTGCCTGCTCTGACTTCGGCAGCGTGAAGGCACCCGAGGAACTCGACGCTGCGCCATGGAAGTATGAAGCTGTGTGTGAAGTGCTTTGTATACCTTATAAAGATTACTAAAGAAGAATATATTAATAGAATAGAAATGTAATATTCTTCAGTTTTATTCCTCATTTTAGGCTTTACTTTGTACCTATCATGCTTCAGAAAAAAATAGTGCTGTTTTCATGTGCACTACCGAGAGCTGCTGCATTCCCTTTCATTTTGCTGCTGTGTTGCTATGTTTTTCAAGCTCCCGTTTCAAAGCTCAGGCTTTCATGTCGTGTCCTCTTCTGCTGAGATGACGGAGGCAGATGTGACCATGAGCTAATTTAAAGTATGTTCTGTGTCCTGCTCTGCAAGCAAGCCCATGCAGATGTTAGGGTTTCACTTGGCATTCGGCGTGGGGTCAGCTGTTATGTTGGAAATGTCTAGTGGGAACTCCTCAAAGGGTAGTGTGGGATGACCTCGCTGTGGATTGTGCCAAGAGGGATGTCTGCAGTCAAAGAGGAAATAAAAAGCTGATTGGAAATAAAAAGCTGTTACTGCTTTTCATGTTCACATCATAAAAAAGTGTTATCAAGGCATTTGAGAAATGCGTTGGGAAGGTTGTTATTGTAGTTAAAATATATATGTATATATTAAATTCTTCATTTCATGAAGATTATACATTTTTCCCTCTGGAGTCCTGAGTGCGTCTCCCAAAAGTGTGTATTTTGGGGTGGAAATGTTAGCTTTTCAGGGCAGGGGAGAAGGAAGCAACATGTACTCTCCTTACTTGACTATCAAGTGGCAGTTACCTCTACAAAAGCTTGGTGCTGACAGCTCTTGGACACGCAGCCACATCTGGACTTCTGGCCTGGTGCACATTTGATGGCTTTTAATTTCTTGACCTATTAACGGAGCTGGAAAGCAAGCTTGCACTTCAGAGAACACAAACTCTAAGGAGAAAATGCCAAATAGTGGCAACATAATCATACTTGGGCCAAATGCATTAAGTAATGTATTTTTGTCCTCTGTACTGTAGAATCTCCTTTGTGACATGCGGTGATTGCATTTAATTGGTTTGATTTAATTTTGTTAATTTAACAAGTCAAGTTACCAATCTGCTCTTCTATGTAAATACATCTCAGTGT